AAATCATATTTTGATCTGTGGATATGTATTTCAAGTTATTGACATAGCGTTCACAACATCTAACTAATTCTGATGAACCACGAGTAACTCTAATTAAAACAAAATTCTGTTTACAAAATGTTTGTATCTTTCAGTATAGCTATAATTCTGCTTAAACATTAGTAACATTTTAAATTTGCATTTATTTTTCTTTTATTTGTTGCATAGTTTTTCTCTCTGCTAAATAACAGCATTCGTAATACTTTAAGTAGTATGTTTAAGCCTGAATAATTAAATGAATCTGGATTAAATGCTATTTCTTCACGCAGATGTGAAGTATAGATATAATAGTAATAACATGCAATTGCATAATTTTATTGAGAGTTTTTAAATCACTCTAAATAAATTTATGCAATCGTATTTAAAAATTGTAAGACAATTTTTATTCCAAATGTACAGAAATATATGTTTTTTCATCTTAACTGAATGTAGTAACTTGAAAAAAATTTAAATAATGATGACAGTTACCATTTTGCAATCAATCACCCTTGAATACAGAATGTTAATTAACTGTTATAGAACTTGTTGCTTAAAGAGCGCCAAAGTTCATTTGACATGATAGAAATGTTACTGGAAGCTCATTGGTCTATCCTAGAAGCCACTCATTCGGTGGCTACACAGATTGTGCATTTGTGAAATATGCAGTCGAGAACTTCCTGTTATTCGCCTAAGGTGAAGAATCATCCAGACAGTCCATATTTTTCTCCGAAAGAGGAAACGTAATCCAGAGCTTCGAAACTTATTCGACGGTGATGCAACTGGAGTTTTCCTTGCAGGGTAGGCTATCGTCTTAGCTGGTTCTCTTTTGACTTCGAAGCTTGTAGTCGGAGCAGGAATCAGTTTTGCGGGTTTCGAAGGAGTGATCCAACTTTTTTCAACATTTGTCTGCAAAGGAGTTTTGAGTTTTTGTCTCTTTAATACAGGTAGCAGGTAATACACAGAAATCAGAAATTTCTTCTTTTTTTCTTTACTTGTCTGAAAGGCGAATAATCGGAAGCCTTATTTTCTAATTTCTTAGAGTCATCTGGCTCAATTAGCTGATGAATGTAAATCTTTCATGGCGTAACATCTGAGTAAGTTTAGCTACAGCGGGCTGGAGCTTAACTTCGACAGGATTACCAGCCTTCAATTCATTTTGAGTGTCTCTTACAATATCGACTGCGAAAAGCAGTTGCGTGGCACCTTTGCCATTGTCCAAAGACCTTTGAATACGCTTCTTTGAGGCGAGTTCCATATTAAGTTGAAAACCAGTAGTAGTCACGAGGAATTGCGAAACTGGATAACACGACAAGGACGTCCAGAGAAAAGCACGCGGTAAAACTAAGAACCAAATAGGAGCTTCGATAAAGCACAGGAGGACAAAAAAAAAAAAAAAAAAAAAAAAAAAAAACTGAGAACACATAATTATTTTTAGATGTTTTGTTTTAACATGAGATGGAATGTATTTAATGTTGCAAATTGAACATTTTTAAAAGTAAATCTATTAGCAGCATTATTTTGCATTATTTGAAAAATCTCAATATTGGATTGTTTTTAAATACAGACTTCTGCTATTGTAATATATTTTCTACCAAAATTAATTTTTGTTTAAAACATATAAATAGGGCATTCGATTCCTCTATGCTAGGGATACAGGATCCTAATAATGGAATGAGTATCCCTATGAACAAAGTGAAAAGAGGTGATGAAATGAAATTTTTATTTATTCTCTTACCATATAATGGATAAACCACACAATGCTTCTAATCTGATGGAACTGATCTATAAAAATGCTGTGATGTTTTTTGCATAAAATGTGGAAAATTTTCGTAATGTTAAAATTACATAAAATGCGGAAAATTTTTGCATAAAATGTGGAAAATACTGCAACATTTTCTCCAAGAGTAGATGTAAAATTACTGAAGAAATTGATCACTATGTATAGAAAATTGGTTTAGGTTGGCAAGTGCAAAGGATATATCGGATGTTAACGAAAGTTTCCCGCCACCGCCAAATAACGTCTGCGCAAACAGTTTGCACTGGCGTGTTTAATCATATTTTGTCAAACAATTTTTGGCATTTGAAAGGTTTTAAAACACTCTTTTACGAAATGTACAGGCACGGTAAGATGCCTTCCTCGCAAAGCAGGTTTAGCGTTTCCATAAATGGCAAGGAAAGGCAGGGTTTCCACATTTAGCGAGAAATCGCTTATTTGGTGACAAAATTGGCGATATGCCATGGACGGATGGAGAACCTTCAGGAACGAATTCCTACCGTTTCATCCCAAAATGTTCTCGAACACAAGCCGAAAGCTATATAAAGCCTGCTGGTCCGCAGTCAGGGAGTGCCTCGCATAGAGTGCGAGATAGTTAGTCTGTCTCGAGATAGTCAGTCCGTGCGGAGTCGATCGAGTTGATAGCCGGGCAGCGAGTGCCGAGTGGGTCGGCGAGTGCACCGAAGAAGTCTCTTAGTGTATCGCGGTTAGTGCATCGTCGAGAGAACGTGTTGAGCTCCTGGAACGACTGAAGCGAAGAGTCGGGAGCTGTGCTCTGTGTGTCGTCGAGTGCATCGCGAGTTGTAGCGTGGAGAGTCTCGAGAGTACGTGAAGTTCCGAGACGACCGAGCAGAGTCGCGAGCTGTACTCCGGTGCTTTAAAGTGAAGCTGTCCCCACCGTTATTGCCTGACAGTGTGAAGGCTGTGTCGCTGATTGTTCCAGCGTGTTTTAATAGATCTTCGACGACTGTAAAACGTGACTTTGGAGCTGTCCTGGTTAATTACTGGCCAATAAAGTGTATTTCGATACTTCATCAAGTGTCATCGTTATTCACTCCAAATCTACGAACCCCGTACGAATGTGAAGGGAGAAAATAACGTAACAACTGTGTTGTGAAATTTGTAAACAAAATATCCTTATCATTAAGTACAAGGTATCTGAAATGGAACTATCTCGCTATCATATTAGAACCATCATTTACGTCCAGTTTTGTTTCAAAAAGTCAGATGCAGAATGTCACCAAATCAAGTGCATAGCTTTAGGTTTTAATGTTGTATCATATGACACTATGAAGGTTTAATATCGAAAGTACGAAAACAAGGACTATGACATTCAAGAAGCAGAGCGCTTTGGCCGGGCTACTGATGTTGATGAAGTTCGCTGCGAGAACTTGTGGCAGACGATCAGTATGCAACCAACCGAGAGCTTGCTAAGGAGTTAGATGTTAGTGCCATGTCCATTAGTCGCTCTATGCATCGCATAAACGTGGCGTACAAGTTCAATCACTGGGTGCCGCAGGAGCTGACGCAAGCAGATAAGGAGAGACATGCTCGGGCCTGCACTAATCTGCTCGAATATCAGTACAAGGACAAAATTCTGGACCGGATCATCACTTATGATGAAAAGTAGATTTACTTATTTACTTCAACAACACAGGTAGAAAAGGGCCTTGAAAAACTACCAAAACGTTGGCAGAAAATCATAGATTTGAGCAGTGATTACTATCCGCATTAAAGGTACTGCTTTCATGTTTTCTTCTTTCTAACTTTATTACGAATGTTTTTCTTTTTGGGGGAAAGCGTTTGTTACTACCAGATATTTGATAAAACTTAAAAGGCAAAAACAGGAAACAATACCTTAAATTAGTTCATTTGATGATTCTCGGAATTCGATTGATTCAGCGGAAGATGAATTTTAATCTGATCTATTTAATGAGCCCTAAATAGAATAAGATGTTCCATGTTTAAATGCCAATAATTTTGTTAATATTTGGTCTCAACGAACAGGAAAAACTGTTCACTATCATTGTCAACTAAAATGTAACTGGGTTTTCCTAAATATGATAAGATTTTTTTTAAGAATAAAGTATTCTCTTTAATCTTTCCCTGAAAAATATGATAAAAGTGTAATGAGCGAGAAAGATTATACAATAATAAGATTAAGAGAAATTTTAAGAATTGCTACAATTATAATTTTTCAGCGGAATTTTGAAGGTTTGAAAACATTTAATTTCTAATGTCTTAGTTTCCTCAAGTTTCACGCAATGCTATTTCTATTTCTAAAAAAATATAGGCCGAATTCTAATCATGAATATGAACCAAAATATTAATGCTATATTATTTAAAGCGTTAAATTATTTAAAATATTATTTATAGATATGCAATTAAATTTGTAAACTTTTTTATTTAGGATGAAAACTTCCCTATAAATCTAACGTGTCCCTTAATATGGAGATACATAATTTTTATATACATGTACTGGAACTTTCAGTTTATTGAAACATTTTTTTACTGCCGATTAAAAAGAATACGATATAAAGAGACTCATTAATAATTCTGCTAAAAAATTTCCGAAATGTCAGATCGCAGCAGAGGGAAAAGAAAAGGAATCAAAAGTCATAAAAATGAAATTCAAAAAACTCAGTCTTCCCTAACTCACTAACTGATTTGATTCGTTTCTGAAGATGAAACCGTAGATCTATGGCCAACCATTCCAGAGATATTTAGATGTGCATAATTTTTTAAACGCTTTAAAAAAGTGCATAGGGTTTCCAGGGGGGGATCAGAATTAACAAATACGTATTAAATTATAATTGAAAAGTGTTGGATACTTTTTTAAATTATCTCATTTAGTGTGAGTATGAATGCCATCGAAATTACCACTATGGTCAATTTCAGAATTCTGAGACATAGATGAACCGTTGACATCTAACGAATGTTTTCCACTTAAGTCAGTTATCTTTCCAATCGAATCCAGCTGGAAAGGAATATATCTCCCACGGTACTTCTGAGGGCGGTGCCTTGTGATATGCAAATTCTCCACTTCCTCCATTGGCTCCAAATCACTTTTAGATTGAAGTCAAACCTTGCTCCAGTTCCGTATGAGGTGAAAAGATTATTCAATTTATTCGATTCGAATTCCGGGTCCGTCGTTCGTAAGTGGAATGCTGGAATGACGTCGAGTGAACGGAAGCGTCTCAAGGTCAGGGTCTTTTTACTCAATTCAATCGCAAGATGGAAATGACTCGTGGAGAGTATGTTTGTGACTTCGTCATTGTCTTGCTAACAACATTCTCATCAACAGCCATCCTCGGAAATTGCTCCGAAGGCTTTAGCTGGTCTGTAAACGTTCCTGGTCAGGTAGGTGCTACGTTTTGCATGTTTTCACAGTATACTATTATTCCCTGCAAACCTTAAATGTTATTATTTGGTAATGTTGAAACATTTATAATTGATATTTACAAACGATAAATGAAAAATTTTTTTGGAATGCAGTATCATCATGGTATACCATAATTTAATTACATTTATATTAATCTCTTGTATACTTTGATTCTTAATGTTGGTATTAATTATGTTGATTATTTACTAAACATATCATTAATTATGCTGATTGTTTACTAATTATATCATTGGGTCATTCATTAGTTTTTAAAAGCAATAAGAGCTCTAACATACACAAATAGCATATTACAAGTAATAAATTTATTATTAAAGTTATTATAAGTATTTTAATATGATAAAATATATTTAATAATCATTAAATTAAACGAAAACAACTTTATTAAAATTAGCATGTCAACTTACTGCACGTAAATGCATTGAAAATAAATTTACAGAAATATACACTTAGAATTAAAAATAATAATGATATTATTTTTTAAAAAATTATTATGATGATGGATGATTAATAATTATTTTTGGATGAATAAATATTATGTTTTGATAAATTATGGAAGCTCTGGAACAATAATTGCTGTTAAATATTTCTCTCATGTTAAAGGTTTTGCATCTTCCATGTAAAATGTGGGAACTTTGTGTAAAAGGGATCCGATCAATAAATTTGGGGCCTTTGATACAGCATTATTTTTAGAGCCCATAACGCTAATTTCTCTAAATTTCGTGAGAGAAGGAGAACAGTTATGAGAAATTATAACATAATTTGAGAAAAAAATGAGGTCAACACAGAATACGATGTCTTAAGCTCATGCCTTGTTTAGCGTAAGCAATAATATGTTCTTGTCTCAATTGCAAATTGGAAACTGAACCACAATCGGACACAATCGAAAATAGGGATAGCCAAAAATACGGCTGTCAGCTTTGAACGTTTTACACGTTGAATGGTCTTTAGATAGAAGAGGAGCAAGATAGGTTACTTTTCTGGAATTTGCTGCCATTCTTTAACGAAAAGCAGGCAAAGTAGACCCTTTTTTTCAAAGATCAAACTGGTAGCACTAACATAATTACACAGGTAAGATATATATATAATCTGTATTTAAGTACAGAACATTTTAATATTTTATATCTTTATATGTATTTTTTGAGTCTAATATTTGAATAGTTGAATCGGCTTATTTATTTGAATATATCACCACCATATTTTGAAGAAAAGTTTTATTTTCTCCTGTTTGCCTAATAAAACGAGAAAGAACTTCTTTTGAGATGGTTTTTCTTGTGGATTTATTTTTCCAGAGCAATAAATATTCCATATAAATTTCTGGTAACTTATAATAAAAGTTGTGAAGAATTTTATGAAGAATATATGAAAATAAAATACTTATTTTTGAAAAACGCAATCTAATAGTTATTCCGGTAACTGGAAGATCTGGTGGAAAAAAGAAATCTCAGGCACCTCAATATCGATTTGAAGTTATATGCAAAAAGGAACAAAAATATTAAATTTCTGGGTAAATCTGAAATTTTAGCCTTTTTATGCGTAAAATTGCGTAAAAAAGGGCTGTAGTTCCAATAACATAGCATTTGCTATTGTTTACACTAGTTTAGCAACAAGACACTGCTAGTAATAGATAACCAAGTAAGTTAGGTACCATATGAAACTATATACATATATCAGTATTCCTGATTGCTTAGAAAATGGCAGAATGAATTGGCATAACACAAACGAATAAGTAAGCTGAGAATAATGCTTTGCAAAATAAGGTACAGATTTAAAAAAGCAAATCGGCAATCTGGAAACTTAAAAATACAAAATTATATTTCAAAGAAGTTACAATTGATGAATGCTTCAAAAAGCTTAAAAAAAAAAAAAAAAAAAAAAAAAAAAAAAAAAAAAAAAAAAAATGAACAAAATGAATAATAAAATATTCAAGAAATTCAAGAATCTTGGTTTGCAAATTTTTGTTTAATAACCTGAAGCAAAACAGAAAAACAGAAAAAAAATATAAAATAAAATAAGTTGGGAACTTTAAAAACTGAAATCGGAAAAAAATAGAAATTGAAATTTCCTAGAATAAGCGTAGACATATGTTAATAACCTGGTAGGGTTGAAATAGGCGAAATGCCATACATGCCGTTTCAAATGGAATCTGGTTTGCATCAAATGGTTTACATCTGTTGTCATGTTACATGCTGCAGCCACAGAAGTGTTTCATTTCTTTGACTGAATAACAATTCGATGTCATGATACTTGGTTGATAGGTAAGAAAGAATCTTCAAGACGAAAATATTGACCAATCGCTACTTAATTCAGCTGAACATGCGAAGTACATACTTTGTAAACACTCATCAGCGACACTTTTATTGTATCTTCGAAATACCATGTCTTTTTGCATTATTCAGCAATATTATATGAAACTGTGTTTCATGCAGTATATTGAAAGCATGCCTAAAGCCTTGCTTCATAACTCATCTGTTTCATATTCCATGTAATGTTCCATGTAATATAGCTGTTCTGCCGCATAGATAATGTAACAGTTTTATCAGTTTGAAGGAATCATGCTGTCTACCATATTTAAATTAAATTATAATCTTCAAGAGACCATTTTATCTTTTGCTTAGATATACAGCAGCTCGCATTAGTTTTCGAGCACCTGAGGTTTTTAGTTTTATTTGGAAATAATTGTTACTAAATATTAGCAAAATGACTATTTTTTTTCTCATATACTACTGATCATCTAGTTTAAAACCTACTTCTCTTAAAAGGAGTTTATATATATTTAAAAAGTTCTAAAAATGAACTTACATAATTATTCTCACACTTGCAATAAACAGTTTATGTTTAATAAAACCATAAAAATAACGGGACATTCAATATTTCGTTGATTTCCTTTAGCTAAAATGATATTTTTTATGTGCTTTGGGATGCATTCAACTAATATTTTCGTGATAGAATGTTCAGTTTGTTCTATTTCTACGTAAGAACTGCTTTTAATAGAATTTTCGAAGCAATATCATGTTTTCTTATTCTTTTCTTCAATTCACTCTTTGCATATTCGATAGGAATTAAGTTTGGAGAATATTTAGGAGGTCTGATTATTTCAAGACATTTGTATAAACAAGCGAATATTTAGGTCTGTATGTTTAAGTTAATTATTTTGATAGAACTTGAATGTATTTTGCATTCCAAGTTTTCTTGCATATGTTTTCAGATTTTCATTAATATTTATATAGTTATACAGATCCGTATTATTTTTAAAGAATGCTAAAATTCTTCGTAAGGCAGCGAAACATCCTCAAACCATTGTGCCTCTACCGTCGTGCATAGCAGTAGCAATAGGTTCATCTCAAATTCAATTCGAAATCGGCTTTTGCCATATATTAACTCATCTACCTGACCCAAATATATTGCATTTTCACTTTTCTCTAAGTATGACATTTGTCCAGTATGATAAGATTTTGCTTATGATAAATATTGCAAATCCCACATGTATTTTCCTTGTTTTCTTGTTGACGAAGAATTTTCTTGTTGTTAGCTTGTCTTTAAGTATATGCCATAAATCACTCTTCTAAAAACTTCAGAGTTAACTTTTATTGTGAAACGTTTTTCTAAATCTGCTGAAAGCTTTACAATACTAATTTTCGGTTCTTGTTCGATTTTTTGTGGTATAAAGTTGCGATTCCTTGGTTTTAGCTTGAAATATTCTCCAGATTTTAGTGAATTTTTGACAGTTTCACACAATTTCCATCCTTTTATTGCATCAAAGATAGTTAAACGCTTTATACCAAGGACGCTTTAGATATTTCGAACATTTTTACCGTATTTGAAAAGAAGAATAATTAAATATCTAACAGAACTTTTCGTTAATTTTTAGCATCATCCCATGTTTAGATAGCTATGGAAACGCTAATGTATTTTGCTAAACAAGTAAGAATGTCAAATACAAACGATACTTCTTATAATATATATTCATTTAAAAGAAAAAATTACAACAAAAACAATGTCTCTCAGATCATTTCATCAAACTTTTGGGGAGTGTCCGAATTATAATGTGAGTTACTGATTAGCATTTTTTGAACAAATTAATTTGTTGCAAGAAATATTTTGATGAATTTTGTTTTACAAAAAGCAAGGATTTGAAGAGAGAAAAAAAAACAATTTATTAGACAAAATTTGAAATCTACGTCTGAGTATTTATTAAAAGATCTGTGTAAGTAAATGTTAAAAATGCAAATGTCTGAAAACCAATGTGATCCACTATATTAAAAAATTTCTGAAAATGAACTCACACAAATATTCGAAAACTTGAGATAAACAGTTTATATTTAATAAAAACATGAAAATTTTTAATGGGACGTTCAGTATTTTTTGGGGTATCCTTTAGCTACAAATACAGTTTTCATGCGCTTTGGAGAGAGTTCAATTGATTTTTTCACTTAAGAATGTTCCACTTTTCCCCCAATTCTTTCATAAAATTTACTTTTAGAACAGCTTTCGAAGAAATATATTTTCTAATGCTTTTCTCCAACCCATTTCATACATATTCAGTAATATTTGCGGATTTAAGTTGAATTGGATCGCCTTGTCTTTTATTTAGGATTCTATTTCTTAAGGCACATTTTGAACAAAAATCCCGTGGATGAGATAACGCTTTTCGAATATTCTTAGAATCCTACATTCATATCACACACGCATTTGTTTCACACGAAAAACTGTTTCGGACGATTTTTCTGCCTGTTTTTTTTTTTTTTTTTTCCCTTATTACATATTTCGTCCTTAGACACTACACGGAAAGGGAAGGATGCCCCGTGGAGGTCTTTTTAAGGGAAACTGGCTTGTATCCACGTTACTCATGGGGAAAACCACGAAAACGCCCATGCAGCCAGCCCGTTAGCCGGGACTTGAACCCCCGGACCGAACTACCAGTGTTCAGCGGTTTTTACCGCTCGGCCGCTGGTCGGCA